TACAGTGAGAATGGCAGGTTTGAGGGAAGTAAAGAGAATGAGGAAAAATAGCAAGACAGGCAGTCTTTGTTTAAGGGCTGCAGGCAAGATGAATGCAGCATGTGTATAAAGTGTGAAGCAAGTGAGGAATCAAGTAGAGCTGAAGGAGGCAAAGAGACAGAAAGGCAAAGAACGAATGGGGGAAAATAATGGTTGTCTAGGATTAAATGGATGTAGAGAACTGCCCACCAAGACAAGACCACATTCCCAAAACAAATGGGCATGCTGCAGATGAAACACTGTTGCTTCAAAATGTTCGTCAGCTAAAAAAAGAAAAATTCGAACATCTGTGTGAACTTCAAGAAAATCAACCAACCTTGCAACATGTCATATGTTTTCCTTATTTCTGCCGCATCTGATGGACTACTTCTGTCTCCTTTACCTTAATCCTTAACCTACACCTCCACAGATATGCACAGTCACACACACACACACACACACACTTTCTTTGTGCAAGCATGAGTGTGTGTATATTTTTCACGCACTCACACACACACACAAACCCTGCTCTTCAGATCTGAAATGAGGTGGAAAAGTAACTGCGAAGCCAGACGGGCGCCTGCAGCTATCTCAGGGATGAATACAACTATTCCATTACAAACACCTTTAATGTCTCCATGGTGCGTCTGAGTTGCTATGCAGTCCCATCATTTCATTTTTTTTGAAGGTACCGACCTATTATTTCTGGTGGCAATGTAGTAGCATGCGACTCATAAAAAGGGACAAACAGCAATCAGCCAATATGTTTTCCTAATGAGGAGGCATAAAGAAGTCTTTCATGGCTTTTCCAAACTGGGTGTAGTTGTGTGCAACACATTAACAACCTTAGAAAATGAAATCAGATTACTGAGGCAAGGTGCTGGAGGTGAAAAGAACCCAACTCTGCTGTGATGTGGGAAAAACGTGTGACATCTGTAGTGGCAGGATTACTATAAATACACTCCTCGTCCCATAGACTATTTAAATCCACCCACCACAGCTGTGTTATCTAATGCAAACTTTGTAGTAGATTTTATCGTTTTATGAAAATGATATTCCTTTAAAAGCTCTTATTTCCTTAATCAGAATCAGAAATACTACTAACTTACTCAGGAATACTATAAACTGGACATTAAAATTCCCATAATGAACCATAAAGAGCAGAAAGTATATTTATTCATGGAGCTCATCCACAGTACTGCTCTTGAATTCCTACACTTCACAAATATCACAGTGAACACAGCTGCAGCTAATATAATTAATAACAATTTGTTCATCAGATTTTAGTGTGTGAGTTGGCAAGCTCAGAAAAAGCATCTAATTTCATTAGCACCAAACTTAACCTTTATCAATTTAATTTGCTGCAGGTGTGTTTTTCACACAGATGATGATTTTGATAACAATGAATAAGAGTAAGTTAGGAGAACAGGAAAAAACTAATTAAAAAAAGTTTCATCATCACACTCACTAGTGTAAGTGTATGGCGCAACACACAAAATATAAATTATGTTGTTGTTTTTTTACAATGGACAAATTATTATACATATTAATTTATTATAATATAATTGTTATTTCTGAAACTGCAAACGTGATGGGATATTATTAAACCTTTTTTAACCATTTACAATCTTTTTCATTCTGGCCTATGAATACATAGAGTATATGTCTTATAATAAAAGTATGAAAATGATGTTGTATGCAACATTAGATATTAGTGTATTGCTTCAATCTACACCCATGCACAGGGACAGACATGTCCATTCAAAATTGCAACACAAGCAGAAGGTCACTGTGCACTTTTATTTATGGTTATCAATGTAGACATAACAGCTGCTAACCTTGCAGCATGTTTGGTGTTTGTTTGCTTTGACTGAAACCCATTTTTTACTGAATAAAGTCCTGATTACTTTTTTAGTATTTCTTTATTTATTTATTTTATTATTGTTACAGTTGCAGGCCCTTTTATTTTCTAATGATTAAAATCATGAATCACAATTTGAGAAACTTTTTACCATTCTATAATGCAGAATTTGTATATTTATTTGTTGCTGTATATATTTGTGATCTTTTAAGTAGTATTAAGGATCTCTGTGGCCCAGACTAAAGTAGCTATCTCAACAACTATCAGATGGATTGCCATAAAAGTACAGAACAGACATTCAGAGTCCCTTGAGGACACTTCCTGCATGAACTGGCATTACATTTTGTACAGACATTCATAGTTCCCAGACGACAAATCCTACTGACTTTAATGATCCCCTGACTTTTTCGCTGCTGCCACTAGAGGTTGACATATTTGGTTCAAAGTGAAATATTTCATCGATGCTGGGCTGGCCTGAGATGAAGACCTGCAAAACCAATCAAATTCCCATCAGTCTAAGCTTTACTTTGCCATACTAAAACGGTGTACATGGTAAACATTACCTGCTTAACATGGTCTCAGAAGTCACAGACAGATTTAATCATCCACCATGTTTTAAATTAAAATATGCACATGTCTGTAATTGTCTACATGACCAGGCTCCTGGGGCTCCTGTTGACATGGTGAAAAGGATCTGGCTTAGTGACTGTGGGGAATTACAAAGTGCTTCAGCAGAAAACTTACTTTGGGAAAAAAAATCCTGTACAATTCTTTCCCGGAACACCAAAAAAACAATCATAACTGGGATCATTTAAAAATTCAAACACTTTCTGTGGAGCAGGCAGCCATGCAGTGATTCTTTCGTTTGACTTCTCTCTGTTCCTTCCACCCTCATCCTCCCTTCCCATTTTGCAATTTCATTTTATTTAGCACCCTTAGCTATAAACGTAATATGTGTTGTATATTATCTCCTCACTCAGATAAACTACAAATACAGCAGCTATTGTGACCACACTGATTTGCCTGTTGTCTACACACTGTTTCATCTAGCTTAGATTCCTCTTTTGTCACTTATGGCCGTCCCATCTTTTGCTGTGACAAAGCTGTTTTCTTCAGTCTGTCTCATTAACACAGAGAACTTCTCCTTTGCTTTTTGTCCTCTTCTTTGTGAAAATCCGTGACGTAATCTTATGATGCACGCAGAGCGCTGACACTGTGCTGACAAGCAGTGACAACGACGAGTGTAGCGGGGAAGCACAAGGTACTTTGTCTTAATGAGCTGCCATACTGTCTGAGTTCCCCTCCACCTGTGATATGAGAGTTACCTCTCTCATCTCCTTATTCATCTTAGTACTGACTTGTGTGTGTGCCTGTCATCTTTTGTCTATCTTTGTTATCTATCTCTTTCTTATGTTCTCCTTTAAAGATCACATCACAGTAATTTTTATATCCATTCAGTTAAACAGACTGCACAATAGCTCTATATACCATCTTAACTACAGTCCATTTTCACCAGTGAGTTTTTCCATTTGCAGCTACACCTTCCCACAAACACCTGCCTCCATCTGTGACCATGTGTCAAACCTGTGGGAAAGCAGCCTTGTGAAATAAGTGACCTTGTCTCTTTTGGCCTACATTATCAGGACCGTGCCATGGAGAGGGTCCACTAATGCACACTAATCCTCCAACACAATGACCCCAATCCCTTAAATCTGTCAATAGGGAAGCTGATGCTCCAGATTAGAGATCCGGCTGTAATGATACTGAAGGACTCTTTGGGTTTGTCTTGTAAACAACAAGACAAACCCACACGGTTTATGATTTACATACTTCATTATATGCAAATTAGCCCCGACTGCTATGTCTATAGGCTTGTATCTCAATGGATTATTGCCAAAATAATGTAACAGGAATTACATGTATCAATGGATTACTGCCAAATTAAAGTAATCTGAATTATACTTCATTATGCTCCTTCCCAGCCACTCAAGACAAACTCCAATTGCAGCCAAAGCTTGCATGATGAACATGATTAACTGCATTTCCCTCCCAGAATTGTGATGAAGCCAAATACTTCACATAGACAGCATTTCTTTTGTTTTCAGTTTATACATGGGGGAGCAAGGGATGAGGAATAGGCTACAGGATTTTTGTTTCTCCATTGTTGTCATACAAACTGTGCAGCTTTTATAGCTTAATCATAACTGTGTCAGAATGTTTGAGTTCTGAATTCTGTGTCCTATATGATAGAGCAGGTCCGCAATCAAAGATGCCGGACCATGATGCACCGCAGAGACAGCTTTGAATCACTGCTTATCTCCGAGGGGAGTTTGTTTACTTTTCCTGGCTGCTGGACAGATAAATCAACTGGAAAGGGGAGAGAGTTTGTACACATACAAAAACGCCCGGGCCTGTAGGTAGAGAATTTGGGAGAAAGTTATTAAAACTGCTTTTATCAACACTTTAAATCCACCCGATGCTGTCGTGCAGCGGGAGCGACGATGTTTGCTGTCATATCCACAGCTGCCAATTCCTGAGGTGCAGGGCATCAGATTATCTGGGCTTTTTTAAGCTGGGAACGCTGTTTATGCATCACAGCTCCGAGAATGTAATTTTGAGAAGTGTAGCGCTGGTCACCTCAGAGACACAGAAAGGAGGATGAAGAAAAAGAGACAAATGAGCCGTGAGTTATCATATGCAAGCCTCCAGCATTGATAAAATACCATTAATTCTTTGGGGGACACTGTCACAATACGCAAAATGGGAATCACTTTCTCTTTTCCCATCCCTCTCTTGCTTTCTGCAGCAGCACAGAATCTCAGTATTGGCAGGCACATCAAATATGTATCTGTCAGGATGACGTTTCGCTGAATGACATCAGCCTTAAGTCACATTCAATAGTGATTAAACATAATTAAATCCCTCTGATTCATAGCAGAGCTTTAGCCTATAATCCAAACCATTCACAGTGCTTCCCTATGAATGATACTTTACTATTTTAAAGGCTTTAAAAACAATGATTGAATTAAACCGGTATTAAACTATGACAAATGTATCCATTTGTTCTTTATTGATAGGATCTCATAGGAAATACACGTCACATTTTGGTTTAAAAATAAGAGGATGTTACATAGAAAAGGCATCATTTTTCTTCACAGATGAAAAATCTTGAATATAGTTGAATATGTATTTCTCTGTGTCAAGAGACCAAGATTAGACATTTTTACAAATTGTAGAACCAGGCCCACAGGAGACGCCTGAAGCCCAAGGTAAGTAAGTTGAAAAATTCAGAAACAATGTCCACTTCAAACTCTGCACAGACTATATTTGCATAGCATGCATTTGATTTGAATAAATATCCGGTGAAGACTACAGTGACAGATTGCTCAAAATAACTTGATAAATGTTGCATATTCTCTGACAAATTGCACAGACTCTTCAGGTATTCACTGGAGGAATCCTAGAAAAAAAGAGTACAAAAGGCTGGAAAAGAATAGAATTACTTACAAGAAATAATCCCTCCCGTACTGCATTTACCCTGACAACTAGCAATATGTGGAGCCGTTTCTACAGGAGCAACAGAATCGTACAAAAGAAAAAGGAAATGAAAATGCATTTGCTTTCAAATGTAGAAATAAGTATTAGTATAGATATATGTATATTTACAACATCAGATCTGGATAGCACATCTTTTTCAAATACAAGAATCTTGCATTTAGAGGATAAAATCATGCTAATCGCTTTGAATCTCAAAAAAATTAACACAGTATCTCTTATGTTGCTCTTCATGGGTACACCATTACATAATCTATTTACAGGCTTTCACTGAGCACATACTTTTTAATATAAAATGTCCTTTATCTAATCTCAATAAACACATCACCTAAAGTGATTCATCTTTTATTAAAAAAAAACTAAAGCCAGCTGCTTTTCTTTTAGTCATTCTACACCAGATTATGCTTTTTTACCTCTCTCTCTCTTACTTAGTCATACTCATACATACACACACACACACCCCGACAAACTCACTGGGGCTCTCCTAGAGGTTTGACTACAGGCCACGGCATCTCAGGTAAAGGTGTCTGAGGCTCGGCAGGGGCATGGTGTTGCTGCGCCTGCTGGTTGGCCCAGTTTAAGTCCACACCATTCTTCTTTAGTGCAGCCAAGTGCTTGATGTCGAGTGTAGTGAAGGTGGTGAACTGGACCTGGTTCCGCTTACTGGTGGGGGAATGAAGCGGCTCGCTGCGATGTGGCCTGGCCAGCAAGGTGGCTGAACGGTTCGCCATGGGGTCGATTGCCTTTCCCTGAAACTGCTGCTGCTGGGAGCTGGTCCTGCTGCGGCCCAAGGTGGCAGTTCTTTCGGGGACGGCGGTGGCACTCACGGTGGGCAGGGTGTTCTCCATGCTGCGGTGGCCAATGGAATCCATGGAGTGACGGGACTCCAGAGGGCGATGAGCCTCACGTTTTAGCGTGGACACTTGAGCTGGGTCACCTGGGGCGGGAGTGTTATGATTGTTGCTCCCCAGCCACACCCAGTCATGCTTGTGATCCTTTGGGTCCCCGCTGGGTACTGGGCCTGCCTGTATGGGGGTCTTGTGATTCCGGAAACAGAGGTTATACGAAACACAGTTGAGCAAAAAAGCCAAGATAGCTACACAAGAGACCCCCACTAAGGCATACATGCCAATTTCCAAGTCTGACATGGCTCTGAATGTCCTAATGAGGTCGCTCTCGATTACTTTTGGAGTTTTGGATTTAGGAGGCTCTTTCTTGGGTGTTACTTCTGCTTTAGGAATGTCTTTGTTGGAGGGGGAATTAGGGTTGTCGAGCATGTTCCCATAGCTTCTCTTCTGCCCTTCTCCTTGACTAACTAGACCCACTGTTGTAGCTATAGGTCTAGCTGTGCTCAGTGGTGTATTTACTGGTATGCTCGGTTTGCTCAGAGTTGTAGTAGCAGTCGGGGAAATGACAGTATATGTGGTACCTCTTGTAGATTTGGTTGTAGTCCCAATCCACAAGCCATGTGGCTGCATGTATTTTGTTGAAAATGTGGTTGAGGTCGTAGTTTGTGCCAGGGTCGTCTCTCTCTGGTCTGGTACTGTGGTTCTGAACAACCATTTATCCATATCTGTCACTGTCGTTTTAAGCTCACCTACCACTTCTGATGCACCACCATCTTCATTTCCGTCAGTGCCAACCCCATCACCACCACCTCCTGATAAGACCCTGGCGCTACTTTGGAAGTTGATGCTGAGGAGCGCCGTGCCCACTGCCAACTTGCTCTTCCTTTTGGACTTCTGGCATTCCTCGCAAATCCTCAGCTCCACTCTCACCAGCACCCCCCGGCCTTCACCTTCACCTTGTGCTACTACAAACGTGGACTGAGGGGTGCGGCGGACTGTGGCCACCCCCTCATCTGGGGTAGAGACTGTCAGGGAGTAGATACTGCGGTCAAACAGCTCCAGTGGAACAACTGCACCATCGCTGAACTGAACCCAGCAGCTGACCACTGCTTCCTAAATAAAGGAAAGAACAGACATTGATAAGTGAGCAATACAGAGTTCATATGTAGGTCTAAATTATTTTTCCACCTCGGGAACATACCTAAGTAAAACCATTTATAGATCAAAAAGATGCGGAAAAACTCAGATCAGATTCATGATCTGGACTCGATTAATGTAAGCTCACCCCTGACTGAGTGACATATTTTATGAATATTTCACATAATATGTAATGCATAACAATAAGGACAAGTAATAAACTGTACAATTAACCCAAATACTGAATGCAACAGGAAGTTTGTGCCTAACAAATGATTTGGATGTTTTTAGAGATTAGTTTTCTTGTTATTTTTATGAACTTTTAATGCAATTCTCTGTATTGAGTATATATTTTAATTCTTAACAATCATACATACTTAATAGGCTTCTTTTTTCAGTCAGTATTTTCTTCTCTTTGATACTTGGCTATTGGTCTATTAGCTCTTTAGTTTAACTGCATACTTTTCTAATGCAGGATGAGGCTGTTGGGGAAGGCTCTGTGTACAAGCTTGTGTTCAGTTCATGACCGTGCCCTTATCCTCTAAGACTCTTTTAAGTTTATATATGTTAAATAAAAATCTAAACTTTACTTTCAGAAATGAATGAAATGCTGAAATATGGGCCAACTGCATATTTAAAAAAAACATTAAAATCAAGGACGCCTCACAACCTCCCATGAAGCTTTGGCGACCCCTAGGTTGGGAACCAGCGTAGTAGATGCCAGGGAAGCCAGCTTGCTAAAAATTTAAAATAAAAATATAACATATCTCTTCACTTTAGCCTTTAACTAGTCAGGATTTTCCTGATACAGGTTGCATTCTATGTATGCTATTTTCAATTTTATCTTATTTTTAATACGATTATCAAGTTGGTTTTATTTTGCATCTCATTCTACACTAATTTTACCCACCCCTCCAAAGTGAGAGCTATATTCCCATGATTGTTAATAGCACTAAATTGCTATGCTCGTCTTTTTATTATTAGACTCAGTAGGGTGCTGTTATACCATAGATTACAGTCCCATGAAGTCATAGTATGATATCATTTAACCAAAGTGGATAAAGAGAGTATAATAGAAGTCCTTTAAACAATAACAAAAAAGTACAGCAGCAAGGGTCATGTTAAGACCACAGTTAGTCAATCCAATCACATTAATACACAATGACCTATTTCCTGTGTCGCCACAGAACTAACCTATATTATGGGTGTAAATACATTATGAATCGCCCTGAGCAGAACATTAACAGCTTGCCATCACAGACACAATTGGCTGGTCATCTGCACTGGCATGGTGCTAATAGTTTGTTATTGACAGAGCCAGGCCAGTCACAGTGACTCTAGGTAAAGTGAGCTGTCGTTCCAACAACTATGGACCGCCTAATTGCTGCCCCATGCCTTGGTCGGGGAGCTGGTTTAAAATGGGCAAGCTGCCATGGCTAAATGTGTGAGTGAGCTTTTAAAATGATCATCTGTGCACCCTGTCTGCCTCTTCCGCTCTCTTGCACAGCATGGTAACCGCAGATGATGGTCGGGGGCTGTGAACACAATGAGTTTACATTCGGAGAGGCAATGAGAAAACACAAATGTTATTATATCCTTAAGGTCATTGTTGTGCACTGTTCTGCAGTGTTTTGGCAATTCTTTTAATTCAAATCCTCTCTGTAGAAGCCTATTATGTCTTTGTTGGAAAATGAACATTTAGAATACGTTAATAACACAATATTATATCATAGTCCCCCCTTAACCTTCACAGAAGGTTTACAAAGATATTGTTTGTGGTGCATATAATGCTTCTGCTCCCTGTGCAGGAACCTAACATGATCATTTTTTCTTTGTGCTTTTGGGGATTTAAGCAGTTGAAAACAATCTACAATACTGACCCTGCACTGCTTGCACATTCGGATGTTTAACAATTTAATAACTAACTATGCTTATTAATGTCAAATTTCCCCAACAGATCTTTACATTTCCAAAAGGATATCTATTAGGTACCAAATACAATAATATGTATAATGTTATGGTATATGTGGTCTTCATTACAGTATAGGGCAGAGTTTCTTTTAGTCCAAACATGACAGGAAATATTTTTTCTTAAGAGGCATATTTTACATCTCACTCAAACAGAGATCAGTGCCTACTTTCATCTCCAACTATGAGTATACTCAATGCTATGCTGAAGCCTCCTGACTGGAAGATCCTTCATTAGGACTATGTCTACCTTGTTTAAGTTGGGCCTTTTGTCCTGCCACGAAAGGGAAACTGACTGTTTTCTGTGTCAACAGCATGGCTGGTCTAAGTACAATTGGAGACTCAAGATTTGATGACACTGATATGAGGGGTCCGGCATTTATGATGCACACCTTGGCCATTAGACCGATGAGGACTTCACAGGTAATTTGAGAGGATTTTGTTTGAAAGAACATGTTGTCCTGTATCCGACGTGCAACACCTATGATATACCGCGGAGTGAAAAGAACCTCCTGAGTGCATTGATAAAGCTGGAGGAACTTAAAGGTTTGACAACCTCAATATGCACCGCTCTTAAACACATACAAGTGAACAGCACCGCGCATCTCTTGCTGTTTGTATGACCTCCCTGGGTGCGTCATGCTGAAACTTCCCAACACATCTGAACACCTCAAGACCGATGTAAGTGAAAGGGGCTGCTGTGTGCAGCCTTTCTATTAGAAGATCTGACATCTGCTGCTGTTCGACCTTGCCCCGCAGCTTCCTGCAGGTGACACATTCAAAAATTGTGCTCTGAATGCACCTTTTTCTTCCTACCAGCTATAATCCATCACCCGGCGTTTCATATGACCATAGCCTACATTGGGATGTTCTCTCCTGAAAGGAGTGTTACTGGATGAAGGAAGGATGAAACTCTGGTAATTTAGAGCCTTTGCTTCATCGATTAATTAAATTACTTCTTTGTATCTTGCACTATAGGATGTCCATCTGTCCTGGAGGTTGTATGGACGTTTTTCGATGATAGGATGGATACCTCTATCTGTGCCCAGGTAAAATAATCTGGGAGGAAGTCATCTTGTTTCGCTGCCTTAAGCTCCAGTAGCAGGTCTGCTAGGTCCCGAAACTTCTGTGGGTCTCTGTTGGCTATTTTTTGAAAGTTCTCCAATCTTGTCAAAAATAGCCCTTTCGATAGCTTCAGGTGTCCCATAGCTTTGCTTTAGCCGTTCCCAAGTCATTTTCAGCAGAGCTACTGGGTGTTTGATGTGGACAGATTTGATCTGACGTGCATGCTCTGAGGATTCTTTCCCCAACCACTTCACAAGCAGGTCAAACTCCTCCGCTGCAGTTAAGTCCAAACCTTTAATAGTACTGGAAAATGATAATGATCAATCTTTGTTAGACCTGTGGTGATGAGCTAGCTCTTGGTGAGGAACTTAGCTAGGTCAGCTGTGGCAGAAGGGTTGCTGTGGCCACCTTAGCCGTTTGACCAATCTGTTCTATTGATGTTAGGGCTATACTGATATCTGTGTTTTGTTCTACTATATCTCTGTCCAACGTTGATCCTGGGAGATGAAAAGTCATAGTAGACAGTAGGAGATAGACTGTGTTGAGTTTGTCTATGAAGTTGTGGTAGAAGGCTTCTGAACTACTTCTATGAGGAGGGTCTCGTATCTTCCTTTTTTTGGGCCAGCTGTTCACCCAGACTAATGTTAGCAGGGTGCTGTTTATAGTCAGCTCATGCTGCCTTTGCTAAGTGGGAGAAGCTTTAAGTTTGCCAGGTGAGTCTTCAGCTTCAAATGCTGCCTCTAATGCCATAGCCTAAGCAAATATTGCTTCCTTTTTTCTTTTCTTGCTTTAGTACTTTTAGCTATGCACTAATCTCCACTCTCAGTACTTTGATATCTATTTCTTTTTGTGAGAAAGCCGCTCTGGCTGTCTTTGCTTTTGCTCGTGCTATAGCTAGAGCCATGCTTACTTTTGATCAACAGGATGATTGTGATGAACTTGAGCATACAGATCGAATTTCTAAATCCTCTATTTCTGTCTTCAGGCTTATTTTCTTCTTCCATGTTCGGTACTGAGTAGAGACCGTTCTATTATGTCCTCATCTCTGACAAGCTGTGGAAGATTAAGTGCAGTGCAGTAACCCATGCTTTATGCTAACTGAAGAAACAGCAGTTGTAATAATGTCTAAAATGATCAATTACTTTCCACCATGACAATGGATGAATAAAGACTAGTGAGGCACTTCGATTGCTTCAACATACAGAAGAAAATGTCCAGGGGCCAGAAAATGTGCATAACCTGCAGCACTGGCCGCGAAACTTTACTTTACAGAAATTTTAGATTTGCACTCTGTGTCACTAGTTGGCAGTATTTTACTGAAGAAGATTAAATAAATAAACTTAAGACTTGGCATACAGAGACCATAACAATGAGATGCCAAAATTGACCTCCATATTCCTATAAAATAAACAAGGAAAACTCCAACCACCTCTCCAAGCAACAAGGGAGGGATCCTTTCCCACTTTTACAACCTTTTGATTCCTTGCATGATTACGTTCCATTACTTGTATCCACTGAATCCTAACATATCAAAATGTTTGCTAAAATGCTTCTGTGCTACGCACAGTAGTGCCTTCCATCTATTCTTTCCCAACAGATGTCCTGTAAAACACTTGACGTGGTAGTAGTACAAGTACTGATGCTTAAATACAGTATGATGCAAGGAATTTGACTCCCTGCTGGTCACAATGGTCCTGACAATGCACTCTCCAGGCACACGTATATAACCCAGTAGATTTAGGATCCAATCTAATTAAATCAACATTAGGATCAATCAAATCAATTAATCAGTTAAGAAGGGCTAACTGCAGCTGCAATGTAGGCAATTCCTTTGGCTTCAGCAAGACTATGATTAAGTGCTAAATCCTAAATCTAAAGACAAAGATCAATACATAAGTCTTACGTACAAGGTTTGATTCGCATGTGGGAAAATCAAAGAGTAGCTACAAATCTTTTTTTCTTAATCTGCTAACAGTGCAAGAAGTATGTTGGTCTTAAAATGCAGGTCTTTAAGGAATGTGATTTTATTTATGCTGGTGTACGTAATAAAAGGAGGAACCTTGTCAGTGGAAGTCATAGATGAATGCCAAGGGTTGCTTATTAAGTGCCTACATATTCAAAAAAGAAAAACAATAAAATGTTTATTGATGTGAGACTTTGCTCATATAGCATAGCTGCAATGGTAGCAGATCACTACAACAGGGAAAGAGCTTTCTTGTTAAAGAGCCAATAAATAATTACACAGAATAAATACAGACAAAAACACACTGTGGGCTCTCACCTTTGATATTTAATCAGAGCTTATAGCAGTCTTGATTTAGAACTTGTGTTTGTGCTCTTAGGTAAACTCTCTCATGCAACCTTGTTAATGGGGCTAATAGTGACAGGTGTTCTCATTGCAGTGAATCAGATATTTCCAATACGTAAGTTGTAAGGAGTTATAAGGCGAGAGGGAGTTTGTGATTTTAAGAATGTGGGCGTTTTGTGTATTCTTCCATTGAAGGAAAATTAGGACTGTTGAATTTAAGAATACATTTTATTTATTTTGTTTCGATGTTATCTTTCTATGGTTACTTTGGAAATTGACTAATCATATACAAAATGTGTGGTTCTGCATTACATGACAAATCAATACAATTTTCACTGATTCAAAATAGGAATAAAAGAGAAACTCTATGATTTACTCTTCATCATAAATAATCCCACAATAAGCAAACACATTTTTAAAAATCCCACACTGAATTTAGTGTTTATTATTACGTATTATTATTGTTCACTGCTTGTGTTTATTTCTTGTCCAAAAAAGACTTTCACATTCTGCTGAATGGTCCTTCACTCACTTTTATGTGACAAGGCTAAAAATAAGTGACTGTAAAACTAACAGGCATAACAAGAGACAAGTACCATCACGAACAGCTGAGCTGTACCCAACACTTTTATGCTTTAGATGTTACAATTTTCCAGTTACTTACCTGTTTGAGCTGCGTGATCATCTCCCGTGTGGTTGCCGTGGCGACGATAGCCTTGTTGCTCCCTGAGCTGAGCTGCAGGGACAGAGAGAGTCCAGATACCAACTGCACCCCCAGCTCTGTCACACTCACTTTGTCATCCACCACCCTGATGCTCCTCTCAGCCAGGACCAACGACGTCAGAGGAGACAGCACCTGCCACAAGTAAATCCTCATCCAAATTGCACATATATGTATATGTATATACATGATTCTGGTATGCATTGCAACTGCTGAAACCACACATACACACACATATATCATGGCTCACCTGTACAATAGTAGTGCCCACAGCACGTCCCTGCAGCACCACACCATCCTGCACCCTGGCTACATCAGGATCTGCCACTTTCAGAGAATGGCGTACAAGATTGGTCACATCCACCTGTCAATCAAAAGAGAAAAAATATATATTTTTAGTCCTGCAAAAAATGATGTTATATTATCATTTGACTAATTTTGTGTCTAGCTAGCTGTTGTAACTTTTGGAACATGAGACTTCCATTTACTGTCTGACCAATCTAGTTCTAGACTGAATAACCTAAATCCCGCTAGTCATTTCTGGTATGTCAGTTTCAGTTAGGACTGATAAATGTTTTTACCTGCCAGTCAGGACCCATGAAGTACTCAACAGGCTCTACCCCAGTTAGCGGGTCAGGCAGCACCTCAGCATCAGCCTGGGCGATGAAGTGTGTCTGCACCCTGAGTGCAGAGTGCTGGTACTGCAGCATGCAACCCCTGCCCTTCCTCATCTCCTCCTCTTCCTCACTGTCCCATGTCGACCTGACACACAAAGGTAATCAGACACAATAAGTTGCATAGCTTAGCATAAAGACTGGAAGCATGGTGCAACAGCTACTCTGGTCTCTGTAAGAAAGGTGACACAATTTGCCTACCAGCACACTAATCAGCATGTTATATATTCTTTGTTTAACCATACAAACACAAAAGTGTATAAATGACAAGTTGTGGTTTTACGAGGAATTATTTATTGGCCAGGCATGAAATAGACCAACACATGATCCAATTTTTTCACTTTAGAACAGATACATGTTATCTATCTCCCCGGCATACAGTCTTTATGCTAAATTAAGCTAAGATAACCACCTTCTAACTGTAGCTTGAATGAATAAAAATTATTGCATGCAGTATTGTTGTTTTTTTGTTTTGTTTTTTTACAGATGAATATACACTGTAAGTGTAAATTCTGTGAAATGTGAATTTTAAGAACCTGCTGCAAAATAAATTAGTTCTGGGTAGCAGTAGGTCTAAATGCATTTTCTTTTACTAAGCTTTAACCAAATGGCTAAATTATTCAGTAAAATGAGACTTATTCTAATATTATGAGTGTTGAACTCTCCTTATTTAAATTGTAAACAAATACACTACAAAACATGTTAGGCTGATAATCTGTGGTGTGAACCCCTAAATGTAATTTCTATTGGCCAGCAGAGAGACAATGAACTCAAGAACAATACTGGAGACCAGCAGTGTGATTGTTGATGCTGTAGGGGCATAAAACATTTGCTGAGTGACCTTTCCTCTAAATGAATTTAAGTTAAATTAACAAGGATCCCACAGCCGGCTGGTTTGTTTGTGGGCGGTAGAGGTTAAGCTGTGAACTATCCTCAAACCCCTCAGCAATGATCATATAATTATCATAAGCAAAGCTGGTCTGCCACGTGCTGCACCACAGGTGTGCTGGAGGGCTGGTGGATCTGCTTTTATACCGCAGGGTGAAAGCTATTGTCGAGAGCTACAGTCCAAATAAACATCATTATTATATAGCCTAGGGTCAGAACTTAACATGCGTTGGAAATGCGGCTTGAATTAAACAAGTGTTACTCAACATCACACAGCGAACTAACTCGTTCCTCAATCCTTTTGTCTAACTCATGGTTATTAATAGTGTACCGGCCTCACACCTGCAGACAATAAACTGGATGTATTTCAAATTATATCTTAGATTTTGTCTTATATTTGTCTTGATTCGAAATATGATTATTTTAAAATAAAATAATTTGCAGCATCAGTGATTTTTCTAATAGCCTTTTTGTTCTTTTTCAAAATCTTACTTTCCAATAACACTTGAACACAAAAGTTTTAAGTTTTTATGTAGAGTCTCTTTGCCATGGTAACTCAACGTTTCTGTTCCTTCTTTGATGACCCTTGAGCCATCATGTCTTCTATGGTGTTGCCAGGCTGCTTATTAACATCAACGAATACGATATTATAATTAGTGTTAATTAAACTCTAGCAGTGTTAACTGATTGCAAGTGTAGATGCATTTCAATCTATTTCGAGACAATAATAAAATAAAAAACTTTCACTTAAATTATACTCTTTTACAGCTTTACACACACACACCCACCCACACACACACACACACACACACACACTCACACACACAACAAAGAAAGCAATGGGGTGAGGATGTTTCATAAATGATGAAAAGTTTTGTGTATGATGCTACCAATTCAAGTTGTTTTTCTGCAGTAACACAGGAATGGCACAGAATATTTGTTTCTTTTCTTTCTTATCATGAGCCTAGCCATTACAATCACCATAAGCATTCCACATTTCTGACCTAGTATCTGTTTGTGTCTGGAGCCGAGTATTGAATGTTTGGGGAAATGAAAGCCCCAAAGAGTTTTTACCCTAGAGAAAACTAACAGACCATCAGCCATTATCATTAGTATTGAGTAAAAAATAATGACTTTACTGTAAGTATTGAGTGAAATTTCACTAACCTTTATCTTCAGGGCAACTGTGTTGCCTCTATAGTACCCTATCCACTAATGCACCAAACACAGATGTGAGGTTTTTATGACTGTACATATACAATATAGAGACGGATATTAGAAATGTCTCAATAATGCTGTAATCTAATTCAACACCACCACTAACAACAGACGCAAAAATTACCATACAGCTGAATCCACATCTTTCTGACACTGTGTCAACAAAAACTGATTATTATAAACTTCACAAAGGCACAGTAAGATGTCTTGCATGGGTAACTCAGTGTACATGTGTTGCAGCTGATGCTTTCTCCTTCTTAATATCTCTAGAGGATCAGCTGCATAACGCAGTGATTGGTTGCTTACGTATGAAAACACCACTTAAATACATTTCATTTGACAGGAAATAACACAACAGAAATGTCTAGAAGAGGAGTGTAAGTTTAGGAATCTCTTGTATACATTCTTACATTAAGCTCTTTAACCAGAGGCGTGGACACAAACAACATGACTTTAACCTTTTGACTTGGAATTACTTGATGTCTAAAGATTCAAAATGATATAACAAAATTATATTGTAATAAAGGGTGCAGCAAATGAACGCTTAATTTTTCTGACAACTCAAACTTTTACACGAACAACAGATGATACCTCGGATCATCGAAGACTGTTCAAGAAAAAACATTCAGCACAAAAAACGTACATGGAAACGTGGCAACTTCCAAATATGTTAACATTTTCGGTTTAACAAAGACTAGTTAATGGACTAGGCTAGCACTGACGTTTTTTGGCCAGCTATAGCGTAGCCTAATGTTAGCTAAGAGCTAATAGTTATTTAGTTAATTTTGTAAAATGAAATCAAGAAGGCCTCATCGCAGTTAATATTGTTGTCTTTTAAAATCAATAAACAATCAATCATGTCTAATTAAGCTCTCTGTGGCAAGCAGTAACGTTAGGTACATAATTACCTGTTTAGGACTCAAAACGCAAAGTTTAGAACTTGGAATTACTTTGTACCACCTTTGCTTTTAAATATTAAGGTTACAAATATATTAAAAACATTTTCAAGCCCCCCAGTGCTTCATCTGACCCATACTGTATAACAGCAGTGCGCAGTGTGGCTGTTCTCAATTAACAGTTTGAAATTTCACCTCAGAAGCTAATGGGACCTCTGGCAACTTGTTGTACAGCAATGTGACTGTTTGACACAGAACTGGTCCGGCCTTACCTCCTGTTGCCTGTAGTAACAGGGACCCTCCAGCCTTTGATCTGGCTGAGCTCGGGGTCGGTCACATTAATGAGCAAGGGCAGGCGGGGTATCCATACACTCATCTCCAGCTGGGCACTCAGGAACCCGTAAGTGAAGTTGAGCATCACCCTGCTCTTCCCTCTCGTCTCTTTCCCGTTTACATACAAATAGTCACATCGCTCCGACACCTAGACAAGACAAGACAAGAAAAAAGAGAAAGTGGAAAGGTGAATGATGGGTTTGAACCCGGCCCCAAAACAGGCGGCGTTCCTTTCTTTCTGCCAGGCCAGCACTCTACAAATATCTTGATATTGGGCAAAGAAGTGATTTTAAAAAATTCAAAATCACTTTAGAATCACTGGACTAGTTGGGACTTAACTGTCGTCTAGTGATTTGGATTTAACTTTCTCCAGACTTGCACTAGATGAGGTTTTTCCACGTAAAGCCCCATGGCAAATGAATAAGAAAGTTTTAGAAAGAACTGACAGAGAGAGGAGAGTGGGTACAGAGGCGCAAATACAAATAAGCTAAAACCACACAGACACACATTTAATTCATTTCCCACTACTTCCAAAGTCTGGCCAGGGAATCGCACAATGTTTATGTCATGTAAATTCACGACCGTGGTCTCTATGAAACTGCTACCGAATATAAATTAGTCCTGCCTTATGACTGTTCCTGTAGTGCTGTACTGTAGGTGGGAGCACTGAAGTCCCCACCAGTGAGAGCAATGAGGTGAGACACAGCAGTTGGTGTGTTTTATTTAAGATTGGAGGCCTATCTCCACTGCCGCCTTACTTATCTTAACAAACCAGTGGCTCCACAGAGGTAATTGGAGGGCACTAGACTGGAGAATAGAGTGTAGCACTGGAGAGGGAGGTGAAAAGAGGGAGGCGGAAAAAGCAGAGGGAGGAATGACTTCCAAGGTAAGTCAACTTGAACTTCTGTGGAAATGTTGAGGGGGACCAGTCTGTGAAGACCTTTTCCCATCATGCTGAATGGTCCGGACCAAAATCTCTGATGTTTTGTGCAGCTCTCCAACTACACAGCTCAGCAATGACATGCTGATAAAAACAATCATAATTAAAACTTTTTTAATTATTTTAACAGTTCCCATGGGCCTATTTTAGCACTTTGTTCTTTACTCTTTAGTAATATATAATATATTATAGCAAAACATCATGTATGTGTTCATTTTCGTCAAAGTTTGGAAATTATGCGAAAACACAGTGTGACTTCTCAAATTACTTTTTCGTGACAATGTATTTATAATCCTTAATTAAGACTTGTGTGCAGGATAACATATACAGTATAAGTATGGACAAAAAAACAAAACAAAAAAACAATTAACATGCAAAACAAAAAAAGAAAAACAGAAATGACAGAAACGAATAGAGGCTAATGTGATAATAATAAGTGACAGGAAAAATACATTTAAATACCCAACCTCATATGTTCATTAAAAAATAAATAAATAAAAAAATAATAATAATAAAAAAAAAAACTGCACTAATAAACATATTAAAATATAGTTCAATGACTGTGCAGTGTAAAGTGACAAACACTGCTATTCCCCTCGTCTATGGAACATTTTTGCATCTTTCAGCTCATTGTTTTTGTTTTTTGGCAGCTAGTCGCTAACTGATAAAGTTACCAACTAGTTGGTGAACGGAGTGGAGTATTTAACAACTGTGAGCTAGATACGGCTTTAAGAATTGGTGGAGACCAAACCAAAGCTCAAGAGAGAGTGAATATTGAACTTAAATTCACCAGGTGGCTGGAAACACGACTTCAAGTGAATACTAATGTTGCACTGCAGCTGCTGAGTGTGTAAATAGGCAAGTGTTTGCTTGTTCCCCATAACAAATTTATATTGTGATAATATGTCAATATGAGTTTGTTCCAGCTGCTCCCAATTGGGCATGAAAAATCAATAAATTATGCTATAAAAAGGGCTTAAATGTTCAACCACACTAACTTTTGTCCATGCATACACAACCAATCTTAAATAATAGTGCACTGCCCGTAGGAAGTATGTATTGCTATAGAAAAGTGGGAGGTTAAGTAGCTTTTTCATGGATGCCAAATGAAGGTTGTGTTTGAAGGTGGACATAATAGGCATTATAGGTTGGTTGTGAAATGTGTAGATTGATAACGATTTGTGTTTTCATATTAATTTGAGCGCTAAATGGCAGGTAAGGTCTTCCCATGAAAAAAATTGTTTTGAAACTTTTACCAGGAGGGGAGGGGACATCAAAATTTTGTTAGAGCTATTAGTGGATTCCAGTGTTTGAAGTAAAGCTGTCTGGGTCGATCATTGCACATAGCTTAGTGCATTTTCACACATCATTATGCGTGTATTGCAAACAAAGCTGAGTTTCAGACTGAGCCATCTCGAAC